TAACCCATACAGTTTAAAATAGAAATGAAAGGAAAATAAAACATTTCTATATAGATAATAAAAAAAAGTATATGTACATTTTCCCCTTTTCATATACCCTCTGTTCTCATCTGGTGAGGGTAGGGAAACAGCAGAACACTAGTCTTCTCAGTGAATGGCTGTGGAGGGAGGGTGTCTCAGAACAAGCCTGATTATTGGAGGAGAGCACACTGAGTTCCCAGCACAGCCAGAGAACTGACCACACTATGTTCTTCTACTTGGTGTGGTCAGTTTGTAATAGGAAAGCAGAGGGACTGGCAGGAACACCAGAGATTTCACACAAGGGAAGCAATACAAAGAGAACAGGATACTTTTTCATACAAGTACATAGTACATCAGGCACTTAACAGGAATATGAAATGTTGGGTTTACCTGTTCTTTAATAGCATCAGGGGTAATTGATCCAATGAATATCCAATTGCCTTCTGGGGCATCAGAAAGGATTTTTTCCCTCAATGGGGAAAATTGGATCATGCTTTATTGGGTTGTTTTTGCCTTCCTCTCAATCATGATTGTGTATATGGAGGGTATATTATATATATATATATATATATATATATATATATATATATATATATGGGTTTTTTTTGTTTAACTGGAATAGTGTCTTTTTTTTTCAACCCTACTATTTAACTATGAAAAAAGTAGGGAAGAAAGAAAGCAAAATGGGAAGAAGTTAAAAAAAGAATAAAAGGAAAAAAGGCAGGAAAATAGGAAAAAGTAAGAAAAAGAAAAAAGACAAAAAGGGGAGAAAAAAAAGGAAAAGAGGAATAAAAAAAAAGAGAAGGAAAAAAATTAAAAGGAAAAAAATGAAAGAAAAAAAAAAAACAGGAAAGGTAAATACAAACAACACTACATCTTCCCTTTAAAAATATTTATCACTGATATAAATTGTCAGTGTTTCATGAGCCTGCTAATAAAATGTGTTTTTTTCAAGTGGTCATATCAATAATTGTGTGGCCAGGATTAATTGATAAGAAACAAACGTAAACATATTTTACATTATAATTAATTTTTATTTTTTCTTTCATGTATGCATTTTTTTCTTTGTTTAACAACAACAGAGGTGTGTGAAATAACAAAGTCTTAAGGATTCACTGGTACCCCCAAAACACAAGAGGGGTGAGAGTTTCTCGAGAGAAAAAAAAAAAAAATAGTAATAATAATATTAATACCCCCAAACTCACTCATAAATAACTTGCACTGAACATCTGTAAAATGTTCCCATTTAATTACACATAATTAAATATGTACAAAAGTCTCTTTAATAGGGCCAGGAAGCATCATCACATACAAGGGTGTTTCCCGCAGTTTGCTGGATCCCGTGGTGAGGGCCATGTTAATGGCTGATCACATTTTGCACCATCTGTAAACATGAGGTTTAACCTACACAGTGACTTACAGCAAAGGTATGTTCATCCACCAGAGTGCAAAGTCGCTATAGCTCAGAAATGTTTAAAATGACAGCCTGCTAGACCAGCCAAAATAATTATGATATGTATAACTTGGGACGATAAAAGATTATTTTAAGGTGATTGGACCTTCTGGATACTGAAGGAGAGCCTGCATATTATTACAGAACATTCATAACCATCGAATACTGAAATGCTTTTTGTTTTTTTAAATCATCTTGTACAATATGTTCTGCCCTTTATCCCTGAGCAGGTGAACCAGCACAATCTGACTCAACTCTGGATTTGTGTGGATCACATCAAACATGTCTAATCAAGCAGATTCAAGGCAGCAACAAGTGTGACAGCAAACTCACATGCTAACTAGAGAGCTACACTTCCCCAGATTGTAGTCAAATAGGTAAAATGTCAGGATCAGCACAGCATCAGCTTGGCCGGACATTTGTAAGTACAAATTTATTTAGAACACAGGAACTAAAGTATGTTAACCAATGCTTGCTCATTTCATGAGCAAGCATTGGTTCTTATATGCCATTTTTGTTTGATAAATAAATGTTGTTTATCATCCCATAATGTTGATGTGCTAATACTTGTACCATTCTAATTAGAGACCAGGCAGCTGAGAAAAAATGGATGGCTACACTGGACCCTTTTCAGTGTACTAAGAACTGTAACATTTATATATCTCTAGATAATAAATTTGCTATGATTTTGTTTTTGTATTGCACACTGTGAAGATCTTTATTTTTTTCAATAATATACTGCCAACTTATTCCCAAAAGATTGTGTGGTTCTTGCCCGGACAAAAACCTAAATAAATAAGCAAGTTACTTTTTTTTTTAATTAAAGCAGACCTTACTTCTAAAATGCAAGGTCTGCTTTTGAAGTGCCCCCTTTCTCAAAAGCAGAATAAATACTTAAAAAAAAAAAACCTGTAGGGGTAAAACAGAAATATAGTATACATAAGCTGGCCATACACTAATAGACTTTTGAACTAATGTTCACAGGAATATTCCTATGAACATTTGTACAAAAATTCTCAGTATATTCAATGACTTGATGAATGTTGTTCAAATGTACTTCAAAACTTTGCTTTTAGCAATTGTTTGGAATGAATGTAATTTCCCGAACGTAAACCACATACGCTGTTAGCAATTTGTTCTTTTTGGAAACATTTTCCATCCTTTTTTCAAATGTTATTGTCACTTAGATCAAAAGGGAAAGTCAATTTGACCCAACTGATGATTAGAAAAGAACAGTCTTAAAAGAAAATATTTCAACAAAATTCTTCTAATGTATGGGCAGCTTTAACTTTTCCCTGGCTTCTGCTCACAAAGCCTAGGCAAAGCTGAATGCTTCCTTCATCCAGCATGATCTGGGGAATGCGGAGTACTCAAAATGTCTCTGTGTTGCAGTGTCTTCTCTCCAGATTTGGAGTACTCAGCATTCCCCAGGATCAGCAGGAGGATGGTGTCAACCCCTTCCTACCGAAGCTGGAGGACAACTTAGCATAATATCTATTTTAAATGCTTATGTTGTTGTTTAGGAAGGGGTAAAGCAGGGCAATCCCATTTTTGCCACCCAAACTAGTAATACACAGGCCACATGCTTGTCCTATGTAGGGTAAGTATTAGTACGTAGAACTGGCTGTTAAGATTTTGAAGTGAACCACCTTCAGATTCACTAGAAATGACTGATCGGTTCAAGGAAGTGAAGCAGTAATGCACAATAATTCAGTTTTTGTACAAAATAGGTTTCTTGTGCACATGCAAATCTTAAATAAACCAAATGTTAATCCAGATATGTATCTATTAAAAATTATTGCATGTGTTATAAATACTGCTAATATAACTGCCTGAAATGCATCTTTATATTACTTTTACAAACTTTACCCCAGAGTGGAAATCAAGGTGGTTCTGTACTGTGATTGCATTGCACAAAACTGTCAAACTAATATGTTCTCAAGCACTGACAGCTGTAAGGGAATTGTATATGAACTTACAGGAGGATGCAAAAGAAGGGCCTTTTCAATGAAGTGATAATCTTTCAAAGACAGATGAAATGAAAAAGCTGCAGTAGTGCATAGTGGTCTCACCCTGATTGCTATGCTGTGTATAAGGGATGTGTGAATCACAAGAGTGACTAATCAGAATGACAATTATTTGGCAGATAAAAATGTTCACATAAAGTATATGCATTTCAACTGCAAATTTAGCTATGCCTTTAAATGTGAGGTTCAGAATACTCCTGGTTTGTCTGCACGTTGCATGTGCATGTTTGGCTGGGTCTGAGTCGCCTATATTCATTACACACGCTGTTTACACTGGTGTCAGTCTGGACACCTTGCTTGTAAGTGCATTTCTTTATTAAAGTTTGATGCTTTTTAAAACATACTGCACCAGATGATTGTTCGCTTTTTTCTTTTGAGTGACGGTCTGATCATCTCTCAGTTTGGATACTAAATCACCTTTGGAGTGGATTTTCTACTTTGCAGCACATCATCTATTGGAGTTCATCCCTCATTTCTTCAGTGTTGTTGTCACCATATTATTCATTTCTCCCAGAATAACAAGTACTATATGCTTGTTTTTCAACAATCAGCATATTACTCTGGTGAGTTCTATTTAACCATTTTTGGTGGTGGGTTTACTTGGTGATGAATTATTTTGGACATTATTGATTATTTGAACTTTTGGACTTTTTTGTTTTTGCTGGATTTTATTTTGATTTATAATATTGTTTTTTTATTGTTTTGTTATTTATTTTCTTGTTATACTTTTGCATGTATTTTAGCGCAACCTATTTTTTTGAAGTTTTGTATATCCTATAAGTTTATAGGCTAGGTTTTGCAGCTTACTGTGTTATATAATTTCCGTGGCGCTGGTTCTTTATTTATATAAATTTAGCTGTGTTGCTTTAATGCTGTGATAATGGATGAAAAAAAAAATATAAATTTATATTTTAATAACCTCCTTCCTAAATGTGGAAGATTGACTGCCTTCATGACCTCTGACAGTACTTAATTTGGCTTTGCATTCTTGTAGTCAATGTGACATCAGGATAATTAGAGAGCAGCTTCTTCGTTACAGAGACACTGCTAAAATTACTTGCAGTAGGAATATTGGCTGTATTGTTTTAGGTCTTCAGGTTTTAGACAGGCCATCATTACAATGAATCATTCTTATTACAATAGGTAACATTAAAACAATAGGCTAGTGTCAATAAATAGTGATATACTGGACAATATAATATAATATGCACTAGTAGTTTCTGATGCTAGATGGTCAAGATGGCCAAGATGGCCATCTTGGCCATCGTTAGTGGACAATATTTGGATTGATCAAGGAACTCCAGGGGCCAAAATCTTCCTGTTCTTATGCCTATGCCTCTTAGCATGAAGTCTCACTAAAAGTTTAACTTTAGGAGGATGGATCCTTTAAAGTATAGCTAAAGCCAAAACGTTTTTGTTTTAGTCTTGGATTGAGAGGTGTCCCCAATAAGGAAATTTACTTTTTCTGTTTGTCCTGGTGAACATTGTCTCCAATACAGTTAGTGATTGGAAAATCCAAAATTTTTGAGTTGTCACCAGAAAGTGAGCGGAAATTTTCCAGTGAAGGCACCTGGAAATAACCTTCTTGAGTAGACTCCCCCCTAACTTTTAAGAGATTTCCTCTCCTTCACTTTACATTCACATTCTGTAGAAGACTAGTATAGGGAATCTAATTTTTATTGTGCTACTTACCCAGTCAGCTCATTTATTTTATGCATTGGAAATAAATTACTGCCAGTCGACTTATTTGATCTTGTCTTGTATTTTATATAATGAATCTGAATAAAATAAAATTTTGGCAGTGTTTTTAGGTGGACAGAACTTATTGACTAGTCAAATGACAATCTGGGCAGATTGGAGGTGATATGTAGGATAAAATATTTACCTTTCCAACAAGTAGGAAACATTGGTGTTGTTATTATTATGTTAATGAAATCTTTAAGGGACAGACTGGGGGAGGTGGTCACTGGTTTCCAAGAGGATGAATAATGAACATTTTATCCATTGAGCCTAAATTACGGCAGCCAGGAAATAATTGCCTAAAGAAAGAAAGCCCCCCAATACTAATACTGAGACTCTCTAGGATGTGTATTATATAGGTCTTAGATCTTATAGGTAGAACACACAAGTGTAAGTGCGGCATAACCAAACATTTTTGCAAGCATACCATAGACTGCTGTATTGTCCATTTGCTGTTGATTTATTTAAACTAGGAACTCCAGAAGGTAGTTCTATTCACTGTAGTCTTTGTAAGGCTGTTCAGTAATTCATTTTAGCAGAGTTTCTCCAGAACAAAAACTATAGACCAAGTAGACAGCTTAGAAAGTTAATATTGCTGTATTGGACATACAGTATGAACAACCCCTATGCATGTGTCTGACACAGCAAACGTAAAGCATACAGTATGTGTATAGGAACCTCACCATTTCCATGTTATTGCAAATTTAACACAACTAGCTGCCATTATGCTATAGATTACACCTGAAAAAACGGATTTGGTGGAGTTTAAGATTTCTGATTGGCTGTAGATTGTCATAAACTGTCTCCACTTTCTTAATTTTTCATAGACACAATTTTTGTTAAATCAGAATATCTCAGGTAAAGTACAAAATATGCCAACATTTGGTTGTACAATTAAAGATCAGGTAAAGGCATATGATGGAGATGTGTGATCCCTGCAATAATTGCTTCCTATGTTACAGAGGACCCATTTTTGTGATTATTCATACATACAGTGCAATAGTGTTGCAATGGGTCTGGTATCTGTATAGTAGTCTATGTTCCTGGCAAACAAAGCTGATATGTAATTCACCTTAGTGAGATTCTGTCATCGTCTTCACAGCAACCCTCCTCAGTAGGCTTAAATTATTTATGTGAAACTCCATATGTTGAAAACATGCAGAATTGTTGGTCTAGCTCCCAGGTGCACCACTGGGCAAACCTGCCTTGGCTGTATAGCAGTCCTCTTTTTATTCCAGGCCCCACTGTGGTGGTCACAGGTATTTATTTCCTATGTTTAATGTCTTTCTCCGAAGGTTTAGATTCCCCTGTTGAATGTCCATTCCCTGTGCTGTTCATGAAGATCTTGTCCATGCCTTTAAGTGACTCAAGTAGGTAGTTCTGAAAAGCAGTAAGTGCTGCACATATGGCTGGACCTCCAAAGCCATGTGTGATTAGGCTGAAGTGAGTCAGGCAGCTCTGTACACCAGGCTCCAAGATAAGAGATGGACGACTGTTTCCTAACGGGGAACGGTCTTGAGCCAACAAGTCAGCAAACTCTTTGCAAATTTGCCTGAAAGGTAAAGTTTAGAGTTATGAATGAGTGTGGTCACTGAATCCATAACTATGAATTGTATAGCCATTAAAAATGCAAGGAGCTTACATGAAATGCCAATGAATTAAACAAAACAGTCCACATTTGTGTACATTACATTTTTTTTCTCTAGCACAATGAATGTAAACTGTGTTGGATGCTAGGTTGGGCTTGGCTGACACTAAGCAACTCACAGAATCTCAAAACAACCTACAAGTATAGGCTTGGTTGACACTAGGCAACCTGCAGGGCCTTCCATCAGCCCATATGTAAACTCAGCTATACTTGGTAATGCACCCATTAGTCTTAACACTATGTCAACACCAAATGCAACATTACAAATTAGAAAATCCACTTGTAAAAAAAATTAGAAGACCTACTGTATTTTCTAAGCAAAAAATTTGCTATTGCTAGGAGAGTTGCTAATAAAATTAGCTGACTTCTCAAACCAGACTCTTTATTTGTCTGTCCGAGCTTCTTTAACGTCACTGAAAACCATTACGAATCATGATATGTTGGACCAAGGGCGGACTACCAACTCATGGGGCCCCCGGGCAATAGGGGATCATGGGGCCCCTGTGTCCTCACTCACAGCCAAAAAAAGCCTATGAAAAAGCCAATTAAAAGTACCACGGGCATCTCATGGGGCCCCCTACTAACCCTGGGCCCTTGGGCAGTGCCTGAGTGCTCAAATGGTCAGTCCGCCCTTGGTTGGAACCTATGTAAAACATGTGTCTTGCACGTGTCTGGCTATTAATTGCATGAAGTAAAGCAAGTGTTTTTACCCTGTTATTTTAATGAAATTATGTTGGACTTGTGTTATAGATGTAAACAGTACTTAGGGTGGTTGTATAATTTTAGTAGACTATTTCGTAGAGGAGACAGATTCAAGAAACTGCTTCTACAAAGGCAAACTTGGTCAGGGATATATATGAAATCCCCTGTCTCCCATACCCCACATGACAATGACTGGGCCTTGCAGTTGACTGGCACAAACAAACTGCATGATGGAAAAAAGGGTAGCATGATATTTGTACTTCCATAACTTGAAGGGATCAAGGTTCTGACAAACTGCCTTTGTGGATCCGGGAAGGTCAAGTAAAGTACGCATTAACTCTTTCTTTTGGAGTTGCTTATAGCTACCTTTTTTTCACTCCTCCACCAATACTTTTACCAAAAGAAGCAATGAGACACTCTATGTAAGCTCCAGTCTCTCTGGTTAGAACTTACACAGGGCTAAGGACACTACACCCAGGCACCCAGTGAGTGAGCCAATGAACAGCAGGGAGGGCAAAGGCAAGGTGAGTATATACATACTTTTAAATTAATTTGTAGCTTTACCCTGAGTTGTGGCCAGCATCCATCACTAGAAAGAATCAATTTCACTGTTTAAAAATGTGTTTGCTTTTGTCACGTGAATATTATGGCCAACATGGCACAAAGCCTTGCTCCACTGGAATCTGCTGAGATGACCCTACACATTTAAATCAAGTATGCATATATTTAAGTAGTATTTTATTGCATCTAAGAGTTGCATAGCATGCAAATTCAGCCGTTTACTGAAAAAAAAAAATACAGTATTTTTGTGCCCTACAGAAATGATGCTTATATCATGACAATCAACCAAATTTCAGTTACTGAAGACAGATTAGTAAATGATGTATTATGATTGTGTTCTATAACTTACAGCGATTTACATTTCACTGCATCATCATATCAAATGAGCTAGTCTACAACTGGAAGAGTTTTTTGCTTTGGTGCGCTATGTATGTAGTTATGTTTAATTTTAACCAGGATTTTTTTATAAAACCAGAGGCAAGGAAAAGGGTCAGCTCCCAGGGTGCCCCAATCAGATTCCTGTTTTTACTTTCAGAGCACCTAGCATCAGACTTGTTGTTTTGTTTTTGCATATTCTTTTCTTACAGCTTTGCAGAATGCCCTTATTAATGCACTATATGAATCACGATGTCATTGTCTTTGAACAATTTTCTTACTGCAGGCAGAAATTTGACAGATGCATTGTAAAGAAAACATTTCCCATGGCAGTAAAAGAGGGTTAAAGGTGTGCTACTTACTTGGTAGCCAGCAGCATATTCTTTCTCGCATGGAGCTCTGTTGGGTCCGAGTGCTGCCGACACAGGTATTCTGCTGCAGCTTTAGCTGGGAACTCTGTCTCGCAGACATAGCCGAAGTCTCGAGCAAGATGCACTGCCTCCCCTAGATAGAAGAATGTCCCAGTTACAATCACATTGCATGTGTTTAGATCTATGGTGTTTAGAAAATATATACATATTTTAATTTTTCAGGCTCAAAACTTTTTTAGCAAGTGGAAAAAATTCCTGTTGATCTTGTCAGAAATGCACTTTTCACTGTGAAATGAACTGGTAGCAAAAACAATATTATCTATCCTGTGTAGCTACTATTCTCATCATCCCCCATTTAATGGAGTTGAATAAAGGGAAGACATTTTTAAGTACAGCCTGTGGGACAACTATGGCTTCCTCCATAGATACAGTGGAGTGAGTAAGTATAGCCGCCAGGGACAAGAGGTGTGTTATTTGCCAGTTTACCAAGAGAAAATAAAGGGAAAAATAAATGGAAGACTACCTGAAATAAAGAAAATTAATAAAGGAAACTCATGTAATAAATGGCAAGCTGCAATATATTACATTTTTCTTTTGGGTTTTCTTTAAATGCAATCTTTTCATCCAAACTCTAAAAAAAATCATTGTCCACTATTATAAAACATTTGAATGCAGCATTGCTACTGCCAAGCTCCACACCTTCCAGCTTTTTACACATGAGCTGCAAATGCAAGCATTGCCTGGTACAGCAAGCTCTTCATGCTAGTATAAAGAATAAACTATACAATATAGATAGAGTAATAATAGAGTTGATATCATTTTAAAAGTCTTTAAGGCTAAAGAGGGATTAGAACATACTTGTGTCATACTGGGGTGACTTTGGATTTATAAAATACTACTGACACATTTACAATTACCCTTAAAATGAACCTGTGCTTTGCCCATGCAGAGCAAAGCAGAAGATTTGATTTAATCCCCATCCCCACCAGCTGCACATACCCACCTTTCCTTCTTTTCCACTCTGTTTGGCTATTAGGAGCAAGAGAGAGTTGGCCCAATTTAAGCTCCAAAGACTAAGGACTCTTTCCCTGAACCAGTGTGACAGTTCCAAGTGCCTAAAAAAAGCCAATTGGCAAACACCAGAATCATCGCATGGGAGGAGGAGTAAGTCACATACTTCACTCATTCCGTACTCAAAAGTGCCAGATACGTTTCTTCACTCTCATGGCTAAATAAACCAGTTGGAGAATGAAGGAAAGGTAAGAACAACTATAGCCTACTGATGGAGCCAACATTAATGTGAACTTATTGCTTTACCCTACATGTGGAAAGCACAAGTTCGCTTTGCAAGATGGAGATGTAGAGTGCAATAAGTATACTGTATGGAAGCCAATAAGAAATCATGTTTCACTACTAAGACTCTTTGAGTTAATCATGTGAAAGTAAAATGGTTACTGAAATAACAGAGCCTTTCACAAGTAAACTTATCCCAAGCAACAAAACCATTTTTTGTAACAGAATATATATCATATATACTGTATATAATGTGGGTGCATTTTTTTTCTGTACAAATAAATAAGTCTCAAAGTGTGTTACATTGGGGTACCTTCATTACACTGAAATAAAGAGAATCTTCATGAATGTCTTACCTTCCACTAGAGATGTTAACAGAGTAACATTGGCAGCTTTACGTCTCCCTGCAGGCAAATTCAAACCAATTTTTTCCAACCTTTCTCGAAGGCAACGACCACCATTTTTTGATTTTGCCCTGAAAGAAAAAAAAAAGTAGGATGATATATATATATATATATATATATATATATATATAGAGCCCCAAGCAAAAGGTAGCTTCTGGTTCACATAAATAGTACATTACCTATTAAAATGTCTGAAATGATATACATCATATACACAGTTACTTTATTGAGGCCTATTTGCTTCACAATTGTTGTTATAACTATAGCTTTAGTTATAAATCACACGTAACATGACCCATTATCAGCTACATAGACCTCAGAACATATATCACACCTTCACATCATCATCTTCCAAATGCTATGGCCTTTTCTGCTGAAGGTGGCATTCTGAGCAGGCTGACCAACAGTAATGCTCCTGCGGATGTTCTGCCACGCAAAAGAGAGGCCATCTCCTAGTAAGGAAATTACCTCACTATTATAATGTAAATGATAAAGCTAAACAGGTGCACCACCCTTATCCAGCTGGCCAGTCAGTAGAAGAGTTTAGAAGAGGAAGAGTTAAGTTTGATTCAACTAGAAATATAATTCTCATTTGAAAACAAAAATATGAAGTCTTCCAATCAAAGACAATAAGCTGGTATTAAAGTATTCCCCTTTTTCCCTCCAGTTCTAGATATCAGCTACATTGGCATATATATATACTGTATGTATGTATATATATATATATATATATATATATATATATATATATATAGAGCGCATTGTTTTTTACTGACCTCCGTAAAACTCCTCCAAGCAGGGATGCGTTGAGACACTCAGGAGGAGACAACCGTCTCTGGACCTCTCCCACTGTCACTTTGTACTTAGATGTGGAACTGAGTAGGGATAGGCGTCCAGGGACAGAACAGAAAACTTCGTTTGGATTGGTCACACCGCCTATGAGACTTTCTTTATTTAGAGATAGGGAGGACATCATGCTGCCATTGTTCTTAGATGCAATTGGAACTGTTAAATGAGAACAGAAAGATCATAAGTGGAAAGGAGATCATGATAATAAAGAGTGTGCTGAAAGAAATGCTATCTCTCTGTTACCCTTTGTTAAAACATAACCACACTGATTAAATCTTTGTTATATAGCAATGCACAATATGAGCCTGAATTATAAAACTGGAGCAAAAGAAAAGGGAGGTGAGGCCGACAGCAATCAATAAAAATCCAGCAGTAATAATCAGTGCCGCTGATTTGTTACTTAGTAGATAAGGGTAACTAACATTACTAAGGCAGGTCATACACAGCCCAATTTTTATAGAAACAGAGAGGAGAGGGGGCAGAAAAAAATCCAAGTGTTCCATTGAGTCTGTTCCTTTTTTTATTTGTGATATTTTTTTTTTTGTAATTGATTTATTTAGCAAATGTTATATGAATACAAAGTGGCTAACAGGACAAGGATAGTCACAGTAATAACATAATTCCACATCGAAGATTGATAACAACATCCAGGTCAGTAAACACAAAATTAAACATCATAAAGCATTTCAATACTGGAGTGTATCTAGGAACATTCACAGTGAATGGTATTACAAGTAGCGAAATCCAGTGGAGAACATTAATATAAAGAGTACCATACGCTATGGTATATTGTAAGGACATCATCCAGTTATTCGAGAAGACTAAATAGAGCAATGCCATAGAGAACTAAAAAAGAGGGGGGGATGGGCCACAAGTAGCAGAAGAGCATGGTAGAACAGGGAAGGGAGCGAATGTCCCAAGAGAGACAGGGAAGGGGTTGGAAGGGAAGAGGAGAAAAGAAAGGGTCATGGAGGGTGGGGAACGCAATGAAGCAGAAACAAAGGGGGAGAACAGGAAGGAGGGAAAGGGAAAATGATTGAGGGAGAACCTGGAGGTGAAGGATGAAAAAGGAGAAAGGTCACCCCTCTCATGGGAGGGAAACTGGGGGAGTTAAGTAATCACATAGGGGTGGACAGCTCATTGATATAGGCATCAGTGTAAACAAAATAGTGCCAGGGTCTCCAAGTTTTGGTAAACATCAGCTTCATGTTGCACAACATGGCTGTAAGGTCTTTCATGTCCTAGAGTTTGTTTACTTTAGCAAACCAGGGAGCTTTCATAGGAGGATTAACGTCTCTCCAGTGGAGCAGAATACAGGCCTTTGCAGCACTTAGGAGTTGTATAGTAAGGGAGGTTTTGTATTTTTTGACAGGTCTCTCCATCAGGTGCAACAGACAGGCCTCCAGGTTGTCATGCAAGTCAACAGCGGTGAGTTGTTTAATGATAGCGGTCACTTCTCGCCAAAATGGCTGGATTTTTGAATATTGCCAAAAGAGGTGGAGCATGAAACTACTTTCCGTGCTGCAGCACCCACAAGAGTTGGGGATCTGGGTACAGACAGTATGGAGCATAGTGGGGACCTTGTACCATCTGGTGAGGATTTTGTAGCTAGTCTCTTGAACCCTAATGATAATGGATGACAAAGTCTCCCTCTGTGTGAATCAAGGAGGCCTAGATCAAACAGAGGGAATGATGTACAGGTTCCGACCTATGGCACAAGGTCTTAAATCCCGTCAGTGGTTGATTGTGATATGTTTTAACTTTGTCTACACAGCTATGTATGACATTTGATTTAATAAAGTACTGTATAACTAAAGGCAAAACAATTTTTTCATTTTAGATAAAGTGGAGAGGGATTAGAACACCTATTAGGTTTTCATCGCTGTCTGTCCCCTTATTAGGGAGATTCGCCCTCTGTATTTGTACTCTAGAGGAAAAATCTTCCTATGGGTACACTATTTGTGGTGACCTGAGGGGTCCCAAGGTATTCCCTGAATTTGCAGGGAATTCTCCTCACTTCATGTTTTGGCTATGGGACAGGAATTGAAGGTAACAACTCTCTCTTGCTCTATCCAAAATGAAAAAAAAATTTTGCCTATAGTTCTACTTTAAGATAAATAACAAGCCAGTGTTAAAAGCTACAAACAAGCCATAAAGAGCACTATGACGCAATGAATGTTTGAAGTTTGACTGACCTAAATCCTGAATACAGCTCAAGTTGAATTTTTATAACCTTGGATAAAGTAAGGAAAGGCTGGGATGTCAGGTCAGGTTTTAAATGAGATCTGTATTTTCTTTATAAGATTTTTCAGACAGATTTAAAATGTTCTGTCCCTATACATAAAATGTCCTTGTCTTCTTGTTCAACTACCTGTGAAATGCACAGCAAATGAAGGCAAACCTCCTTAATGGGGACACAGAGAGCAATGAAATCCTGACAGCTTCTCAGCCCCCTTCACTCTACCAGAAAATGTATTTATTGTAGAGAAATATCCTCACTTCCTGTTTTGTCTGACACCAATCAAATAGATTGGAAGTAAAGCTAGCTATGCACTGCTATTTTTTTTTTTTTCCATCCCATGAAAATAAGGAAATGGCCCCCCAGGGCCAGGACCTTGCATTGTGATAGCTGCACCCACCACGGTCAGAATACACTGATCAGCAGCTCATCAAGAAAAAATTTCCATCATGTCCCTTCAAAAGAATCAAATGATCAACTTCTGTTGTGTGGGGGAAGCCACACACTAATCGAAATTTGCCTGATCCCTGCTGAACCAGCCACATTTTGATCCATGAATGGCCAGCTTAAGAAGAATTATTCAGAGGCGGACCTAGGAAAGTTGGCAGAAGTTCTACCCCTTCAACCCTCTATGCAAATACAATTTTTGGCTGGAATACGGCTTTAATGAAAGCTCATTCCTCTTTTCACAGAAATGGGAACAAACCTTTCACCCCATATAATGCAGAAGAAAAGAATAGTTGTCTAAATATAAAAAAGGGAGCACAGTGTCTAAATGGTTAGCACTTCCGCCTGGCAGTACTAGGGTCGTTGGTTTGTATCCCAACCACAGCATTACCTGCCTGGAGGTTGCATGTTCTCCCTGTGCCTGCGTTGGTTTCCTCCTACACTCCAAAGACATGCTGGTAGGTGAATTGGCTCCTGTCTAAATTGTCCCTAGTATGTATGAATGTAAGTTAGGGACCTTAGATTGTACGCTCCTTGAGGGTTAGGAACTGATGTGAATGTACAATATATATGTAAAGTGCTGCGTAAATTGACAGTGCTATATAAGTACCTGTAATAAATAAATAAATAAAATAGCCCTGTAGTGATGAGAATAATATTTCAGTAATAAGTAGCAAAATATATATTGTATATTTTATGGTGTTAAAAATGGCCCATGTGTAAAATTTACTTTTTGAGGTTGCTTTTATACAACACATGCAATTTCCCTATATGTAGGCAGTATTAACATAAAATCCTTTATTTGCTGTTATACTATTTGTGTGTTGACATGAATGATAACTGAAAATAAATATGACAAATTCTAATGAACATAATTACACATATTAGAGCTGTTTTCCTTGATGATGAATTTGTATTTCTGTCTAACCAGTTCTGAGAATTACACAGTTATGCCACAGAGCAAAGGCAGGGCAAGGCAGAATACCTGATTTCTCCTGATTTTCCCCTCTTCACCTCACCCTGTGACTAGACAGTGAAAGGAGAAGCAGCACTCTGATGAACTCATCTTTCTGTCACTCTGCTCTCTCATCCTATCAACATGCTCTGAAGCACAACTGAATGGTGTTTTTTATAACTTCTACAGTCTAAATTCTGCTGCACAGGGTCTGCAAGTGGCTGATAAAAACCCCTCTAGCAATACACACTAAACTGAGCATGTGCATGCCTTAGGTTCAGTCTGGAGATAAGTGGTGGTCAAAAAGGGGAGGGACAGAGAAGAAAGGATCAAGAGGCCTTTTTACACAATGCAGAGGATTAACCCTTTAGTTTCCATAGTGAGTATAACAAGCATGCTTTACTGCAAATACAGGCTGATTTTACTGTTGTGGGTTTAGTAACACTTTAATCTGCCACAGGAGTCTGTTGTTTTCAGCCCTTGGTATGTTCCTCTGTCCAACCTCCTGTTTGGTGCTAGTCATTTTTGCTAGTGTATTTCCTATTCCCAGACTCTTACGCTATAGCTTAGTACTTTCACTTTCCAAGCAAAGACAGGGCTTAGGACAGTGTTTCTCAACCTTTTTTCAGTCAAGGCACCCTTTAAAATTATGGACAGTCTTGAGGCACCCCATTCTAAAATGTGAAAAACTATTCTAATAGTTTTATATAACGCAGCAACATCCACACATGTAGGACACCCAACATTAGAGGTGATTTATTCTTCCAAAGCAAATACACTTTTGCACACTGGTACTGAGCAGTATTCCTATGTTTCTTTTCTCCCTCAGTTATTGTCCATCACTGAGCTAATGTGACCCCAGCACTGGTGGAGAGGGGCAGGGGAGGGTCAAACTAGGATGCTGTGCAAGCAGCCGACATCCTCCTTATCAACCTCTAACTTGTATACAGGTTTTGGTCAATTTCATGACATTTTTCCAAGGCAGCCCTGAAGAAACCTCAAGGCACCCCAGGGTGCCTAGGTACCCTGGTTGAGAAAGGCTGGCTTAGGAAAGTCATTATCAGTCATACACTTCAAAAGACTGTAAAAACATCCTCTATGCTGCCATTATCTGAAATAAATTGTGTTAGATTGTTCACTGTCTTATTGAAGAGTTAAACTGGGCATAGATGGATTGAAATTTGAACAGTTTAGCAGAACTAGCTGCATACTAGACAAGCCAATGACAACATACGTAAACTTTCTCTTCTGGTTGAGGCCTCCAAACATCAGGGGACACCAGTTATAATCATATTACCCAATTACAAAGTGCTGCTTTAGAAGTATATGGTTTCCACTAGGCTAGCAAATGTCTCCACTGACATTTCAGCACACAACTTTCATCTTTCCCGTCATTGGTTTCTTTTACGCATCTGGTGGACTTGCCCAGTGGTCCAATGCTTTTGTCAGCAAGTGAATCAGCTCTTACGCACTCTTTTTTGTCCGG